AGCCCCACTGTTTGGATTGGGCACACCTACCTACTCCAACATTGTAACCACGGAATGGCACACACTGCTTCTGTCAAGTGACATCCTTCAGATACTTGATGGCTTTTGGGATATTCATACCCTTCTTGGTGGTGGGAGTAGTTTCATGAGCATTTTAAAAGTGGACACGAATCCCTGGCCGGGTGGCTCAGTTGGTGGGAGTGTCATCCCATACACCAAAAAGGTTGCGGGTTCGATTCCCAGTCAGAGCACATACCTAAGCTTCAGGTTTGATCCCGGTCGGGGCATGTATAATGGATCGATCTTTCTCTCTCTTTCTCTCTCTCTCTCTTCCTCTGACCCCCCTCTCCCCCTCTCCCTTCCTCTCTAGCTAGAATCAATAAAAACGTATCTTCAGGTGAGGATTAAAAAAGAAGTGACCATGAAGATTTGAACCTTTTGATTTACATGACTTAGTGGGGTCTTCTGTGTCAAGTGGATGGCGAGCCATTTTCATAGATGCAGCTGACGGCTTTTGATAGCAGATTCCAGGCCTGACTCTGCCTTCTTGCGCCCAGACAGGCGTGTACGGGGCTGGGTGCGGTGACTGATGGACTCCCCATCTCCTCATCCTTGCATCAGCCCACTTGCTGGGTGCTGCCATCACCCTGCCTCCCTGCACTCTTTTTATATCTTCTGATCCTAAATCTGCCCTGAGAACATTTCTCACTCAAATGGGATTTACTTTGTGGACCTTCCTCTTCTATCTTTCTTTATCTCTTGTTTCCTATTCTTTCCCCAAAGCCATCTCTGTTGCTTCATTGTGCTAAACCAAGTCTACTAATGGCGGCTGTTAGGGTAGCCAAAGGAGGAACGCACAAGGCCAAAAGGGGTAAAGAATTATGAATTTATTAGGTCATCGGGATACCAGATGGGCTGAGCCCCAAAATGGCGCCAGCCCCCAAAGACTGGGAGTCAGAGGTTTTTAAAGGACTCTAGAGGTTTTTAAAGGGCTTTTTCTGGGCTGAGAATTCTCTGTGCAGGTCTGGGTCCTGGGAAAGTCCGGAGGGGAGCGACAATGGTCTTAGCAAGTGGAATGTGGTCTAAGCACGTGGAATGTTCATTGTGAAGTGGCCTGAAGGTCAGTTCCCGGGGGAGGGGGTATTGATTCAATTCTTTGGTCAGACCTGACATTGGCATCCTTTCTCTCAGGTTGCCCTCTGCTGGCTGGGCCAGGGGCGCCCTAAGGAACCTTCACCTCTAAACTTTCATGAGTGTGTAAGTCTGAGCCCACACCTTGCTCCTCTCTGGGTCTCACTCCCTTATCTTCCTTGTAATGTAACTCCAGCAGTTCACCCCAATTTCTGACCTTTGCCTGGGGGCTTCCTCACACTTGGCCCTGCTCTTTGATCATGAGCGGACTCCCAACTCTCCAGTCCTGGCAGGTTCCTTGTCCCCACAAGGGCCTCCACTCCCCCTTGGGGGCCTTTAGCCTCCAGGTTGCACAACAGCCTGGCATCTGAGCTGAGAGCCCCTGAGAAGCTGTGGTAGGAGGAAGAGAGAAGGAAGGAAATGTTTGCTCCCACCACCCTCCTCACCCCCCAACTACTCCTTTAAATATTTGCCTAAGTCTCTAGCAGCAAGTGTCCTAGGAGGCAAGAAGGAGGGGGAGGGGATATGAAGGGAGGGGGGAGGGTCCTCTGGACTGTGTGAGGCCTCAGCTGTGTGCAGGTGCCAGATGCAGGAGACAGCTGCCTGCAGTACCCACCCCTGCCCACCCCCAGGGCCCCTACTCCCATCCCCAGTTGTCCTGGCAACACTGGGATTGATGGGCCGACTCATACATGCTGGGCTGATGCCAGGTGGGCAGCGGGCCAGCGGGAGAGCCAAGGATAACTGCAAGCATCTTGGGGTCCCTGTGCGCATCTCTGGGGGCTGCCTAGCCCAGTTGGGGGCTTGTTCTGAGCAGATGCTGTGTGTAGGGCTTGCTATTATCACTGGATCAGGGAACCAGGGCTCTTTCTTGGAGAGAAGCCTCTGCTCTTGGGGCCTCAGTCTCCCCTGCAGGCTGCCTTCTGGCTGTACTTCTCATAAGCTTTACAGATTTTTCCTCCTTCTTTCTCTCTTCTGGTTATTTATTTTTGCCTGTTTGGAGGTTGGTAAGGAAAGATGCCCTCCAGTTTCATGAGGCAAGTTCGGATGCTGGCACCAACTTGATGGAGGTCTTGGGAACCTTGGAGAAGGAAGGAGGGAGGGGCCTTTAGCTGGGCATAGCTGTTCCCTCGCCCCCCACCCCTGCCCTCTGCTGTGGCCTTCTCCTCTCTTGGCCTTTCTTAGGCTGTTTCTCCCTCCTGGAAGGCTCACCCTCAATGCCTCTCCAACTCTCAATACCACCCACCCTAAAAGGCCAAGCAAGAATCAATGGCACCCACTCTGTGACCTCACCGCCCCAGCCCACGGTGCCTCGTTCCTCCTCCGAAACCTCCCAGCCTCCCTGCTGCACATTCACTTGCCACTTAGCACGCACTGTTGTTTTCACCAGCTGCGCACTGATGTTCTCATCAGCTAAGTGGGTGCCTTTATCTTCCCAGCCTGGCTGCCAGCCATGTGACCAGCCCTGAGATCCAGTGTTCCTGAAGCTTCCTTGTACCTGCTGCAGGGCAAGCAAGGGGCATGCACGCAGCCAACAGTCAATGATAAGACTGTCGTCACCAAACATGAGGGGGTGCCTGGCAAGAGGTCAATAGTTCATTCCTTCGGTATGTGAAGGTCTCAGTGCCTCACTGACCAGCTCTCAGACCCTGAATGAGACATTCTACCTTTCTAGACTTCAGAGTGTTCATCTGTGAGATGGGACTAGTGCACCTGTCCTGTCCCCCTCTCCAAGCTGGTGTGAAAATACAATGACATCATGATGGGAAAATCCAATGGTCACGATTATCTTTACCTCCCAGGGAACCTCTTCTCACTAGAGTAGGACCCAGCCTCTCCCTTTCTGTGTGTCTCTGGGTTAAAGCCTCCGAGGATGGTGAGAGTGGAGAGCCCCATGGTAGCCACTCTTTCTGTGTGTGTCTCCCTTTTCCCTCCTTCCAGCCGCTCAGCTGCAGGGGCAGAACAGGATTCACTCTGCTCTTTGTGCCCTGGGCAGAGCCGTGCCAGGGACAAGCAGGGGTGGTTGCCCAGCTGCCCCAGCCATCCTCCCCACCCCCATTGCTTGTCTTCCCACGAGCTGGCATGGGGAGGGCAGCATGGGCAGCTGGACAAGCAGTGGCAAGTGGGCATCAAAGGGCAGGGGCATCCCTGGCATGGATTTAAGCTCAGACCAGACAATGCCCTGCTGGCAGAGGCCAGGGAGGCATCGTAAACCCAGTGATTTGATGTGGAAAGAGCAGACTGGGAGCCCAGCCACCTGACTTCCAGGCTCCCCTTGTCCTATACCTGGGAGTTCTTGGGACAGTCACCCCCATCATCACCACATACACACACCCCTGAGAGGTAACACGGTATAGAGCAGCAGTTCTCAATTTTTTTTGTTTCAGGATCCTTTAACACTCTTCAAAAGGATTGAGGACCCCAAAGAGCATTTGGTGTATGTGGGGTATATGTATGGATATTTACCATATTGATATTTACTGAGATATTTAAAATATTTATTAGTGAATTAAATTAAAATAGCAATAATAAATCCATTATATGTTATAACATAAATAACATCAATTTTTAAATGAAATGTACTATTTTATAAAG